TGCCTTTGACAAACGACTTTAAAACTTTCGTGATGCCAGGCGATAAATAATGAGGAGCTAATTAGGACTTCTTAGAAAGTTTGATCTGTAGCCTTTTGTAATTTCGTTCAAGATTAGCGTTTTTAACAATTTCTTTATCAAGAGAACTTTATTTGCAAAATGGTTTTTAAGTACAGTTTGTTGGGAATTTTCGATTCGAGAAAGGTTTTTGTCATTTATCCATCAATTCAGTTCACCACGTAACTTCGAAAAGGGACTCTATGCAATAGAAATAATTAACATTTTAGTAACATTCTAGGTATTCTTTGAAGTAGGCACGATGTTCCTTAAAATTTCGATTTTTGTCGTTTGATTGTCGACCTTGAGTAGAATGGAATTTACTACCCCTTCTCTGTACATGATTTATTTTATATTGTTAGAAGAGTATTGAAAATGAATGGGAACATGCATTCCGTTCATTTTTAGACCAACCAAAAGTCTGAAATAGCAAGTTCTACCTAGGAAACGTTTTGCGTAAGTCATATTAATGGCTATAATATCTACGTCTTACGTTTCGAAAGTAGGCGAAGTATGAAATCCAATAGAAGTAATATTGGTGAAGAAAGTATATTAGACTTTTGAAGTTTTCTTTTAGATGACGTTCCTCATAAATTGCTCATTAGGAATTTCAAACCAAAAGCATTTAAAGTATCGTTGGCTTGAAATCCATAATAAAACAATTAAGAAGAACGTAAAAATACAAAACATCTGAAGCCTAAGTGATTTTATTCCTCAGAAACAAATGACTCCAAGTAAGAGTCATAAAGCATACTCGAAGTCAAGAGTACCAGGTACTAATTGAACGATAGTAGTTGTCAGTTAGTACCGAAAGTAAGAGCGTGTGTTAGCTCGACAATAATAAGTATTACTCAAGAGAAATAAAGGTAATGCTAGAACAACGAAAACAGACTTACGAGCGAGCGATATAAATGATTTTTGAAATTACCAATAACATATTTTGTGAATGCTTCTAGAATACGGTAGAAAGTGTGAACTTGTAAGCAATAATTGGTATTCGTAGATAAAGGAAGTGAGTAGGGCCCGTAACGACACTATTTATTACGGTCAAGTGAACGATATTAGGAGCTAACTGGGAATCATGAAGTTTGGATGAGTTTCTATATAAAAGAAATTAGTTTAAAAACACCAGGTTTAAATAGAATCGACAATAAAGCTTTCTAGGTGAGCGATGAAAAGTAGTTAAATATCCAGCCTCAAGAACAATTATTTTTTGAAAGGTAAAGAAAAATCAGTTCAAAGTTAGTAAAGTATTTTCACTTCAACAATGCTGGTATAGCTGTTTGATGTGAATCGCTATAAATAGTAGAGTAATTTAAGGTAAAAAAAGAAAGACGCCATTAAATTGTGTTAATACGCACGTCGATATTGTGAAATGCGCAAGTCCTTCACAAAGTGCACCGATACAGAAAGAAAATGCATTTGTGATAAATAGTATATCTAAAATGGCATTACGTGGCCTGTTAGCTCAGTTGGTTAGAGCGTCGTGCTAATAACGCGAAAGTCGTGGGTTCGATCCCCATACGGGCCAGGAAAGCGTGTTTACATTTTATGGAGAACATTAGATTTTTGTACATTTAGTGCAGTAATAATTACGTTACGATACTTTAGTCTAAATTCCGAATGTACTTCGTTTCTAGAAAACGAATTGTCGGATAAAATAGTTAGTATTCCGAATATGTAAAAGGAGATGTTGACGATTTAACATTACGTACGATAATGAAGGGATTGTAAGTTCTTTGAAAGCTGGCCGTGCACACCAACCTTTAGAAAAGTTTAAACAGAACCTGTATGTGTCAGTAAATCATCATTCTCGTCTTATCCTCTTCTAAACTGCTAACGACGTCAGCTCGTAGCATAAACCAATCAAATTAATAAAATATGCATTAGGTGGAGTCTAGTCTGTCTTTTGCAAATCTTAAATTTGTGCCCTCTTCTTCAGAGTACACAGGTTAAAACATCACTATAAGATAATCTTTCCTTCTCGAAAATGACCCTAGTAGCTCTCTTCTGAAAGCTTTTCCATAAGTCAATACGTCGACTTTGTTAAGGAAACCGAAACTGTACACAATATTGAAAAGAGAGGCCTAAGTGGCGATTTTTAATGTTGCCATCCGATAAATACATCTCTAATAACGCCCGAAATTTCTGTTAGATTTTCTACTCTTAACAGAACAGTTTAGCATTTCGTCTTCGTGAACTTTGGGGATTTTTAATAAGCTAAGGAAATTGGTATTCTTATACCTTGCTCGTTTTCGGTTTGTATATCGTTCACAGCTACCTAAGGTCTATCTGTCCTTCCTAATTTTGAAGTGAAAGGCTAGAGGGAAGGCAGCTTGTAAACACTACCCGCCGAAAACTCTTGAGCTGCTCTTAAACTTTAGCCGATACCAGGCATTTATAATGCGAGGAGAAACTAAAGAGTTCGAGTGATTTGCACATAAGAAATTTCTCAATAATCTCAAATATATTCAGGTCCATTAAAAAGAAATGTATTAAATTAATTGAGAATGCGATACGTAAGGAGTACTTTCGAATGGCTAAATAAGGTGCAGAAACGTTTCGATGTGATACAATGTGCGGACATTGAAATTACATATTTAAGGTAGGATCAGTCCACTTTATATATAAAGCGTTAAAGAATCTTGCTATGCGAATTCTAGAAGCCGAATGAATGCACACGTTAGGAGAAAAATCGTGTCAGGGTTCATGTCTCGCCTTTCGTAATTTTTTTTAACTTACCTGAAGGAGTGTAGCCAGTGTTCAACATTCGTCATAAGAAGATATTCGTCAGTAACTTTGAATCGAATAAAGCGACTGGCTGTCAATGATATAATTCAATGACAAAGCTTTGTCTGTGTCACAACCATTGGAAATTGTGTTAGTACCCGAAGCCATGAACTCCAACCGCTGGAAAAGTGTAGCCCAACAATTAATTCAAATCGAATATTAAACCAAAATATAAAATCAGATAGTAGTTAAAGATGAAACCAACCTTTAGTGTTGTAGTAAATGGAAGCAGTAAAAATGCTTTGAAAGATGCATTACCAGAACAAGTGTTTTTTAAGGAACAGTTTAGACTTATAAAACAAGATATTACTTAGAAACAGTTGTATGTAATTCAATATGTAGGATCTGAAAATTATAAACCCATTATGTTGTATAATTTGTTAGTATCGGCTCGTTTGTGAGAAGTTAATAATATGTTTATATTGATTAATGGCTATTGTGTGTAACGATAATAATGCTAGTTTGGTGTAGTATAGTTTTTTTGCGGTTGAATACTATTTCGGTTTTTGTTTGGTTGGTTTTGAGTATTCGCAGAAAGCTAACCACTCTTGTCGTCCCTAATTTTCACCTGATGAACTAGAAGGAAGACAGAATCAACAGTGGCCATCATAAATTATTTGGCTACTATATTCGAATAGTGTGGATTTGACAGTCTCTTTTATAACTCATCTACGGCTGAAAGTGCGAGGCACTATCTTAAGGTAACGAGTCGCAAACCACGGACCCTCGTTTTTACATTCCGACACATTAATCGTTAGAAAATACTTGGAATGACTGTTAAAATGTCTGTGGTTTAAATAATTGCAAAGTTAACATGTATATCCTTTAGCTAATTACATCAACAAGACATTTATAGGTCAATAACAATGTTATCATACGTAGTATTGTCGGAGGAACACTGTAACATTTACGTGTTTAGAAAGGTGCAGGCTTTTTTCTCCCACACTTATCACAACGCATTATATCCCAACAATCCATAGCATTCAGGAGCACGTGGCGTAAGATATATTTGTTCATATGACACAGAGGGGTAATATATCCAACAATAAGTGAATGCCATATCATTGTGTTTTATGACAGTTCTCATATTATTGGTTATGGCGTCACTCTGTTTCTTTCTTTTTTCTTCTCTTTTCAGGAACACGAAGATATTCATCAATAACCTGTGCAATATCCAAGAAAAGTTATTTTAAATTTCTTAAAACAAAAGATTGTTTTTCAAACAAAACAACCAAACCTTTTAAATGAATTGCAGTTAATAAAGAGTCGTAATTTTGGAGGCCTGGTAGTTAGGGCGCTCGACTCGCAGTGTGAGGGTTGTTGGTTTGAATCCTCTTCATCGAACATGTTCGCCCTTTCAGCCGTGGGAGCATTGCAATGTGACGTTCAATCCCACTATTTCTTGATAAAAGAGTAGCCCAAGAGTGGGTGGTGGTGACTAGCTGTGAAAGTTTGGAGAGATTTACACATTTTGATATTAAAATTAAAAAAACGACCTTTATACTCCAGATAAGAGAACTTATATTTTATTTTTGCAAAAGCGAAACGTCGTTTAAAATAAAAGTTCTCTTATCTGGAGTGTAAAGGTCGTTTTTGCTAACTTTATTATCAAAATGTGTTGACTAATTACCATCCCTCTAGTCTATCACTGCTAAATCAGGAACGACTAGCGCAGGTAACCCTCGTGAGGCTTTACGCGAAATTCAAAATAAACAAATAAACTCGACATATAAAACCCCAAACAGGTCAACCCTTTCATCAAGATCAGCATAGAACTCACTCTATTATAGTCTCACGTGTCATAAATAAAAATTAAATCCACTCACGTGACAAAAAAGGCCAACAAAGAATATTCCTCTGCCTTCAGTAGTTGTTGTTAAGTCTGGTTTTCTTCTTCCAGTTTCTATATACTTAATTAAAAGAACAGGTCAGCCTTTTGTGTATTAAATTGGGTTACTGTTGTGAGCTAATATTTTTCAAATTATGAAACCATGAGGATGAAAGACAGTTGGAAGGCTGGAGAACTTAGAAATATTTTGAAAATATCAAATTTCTCAACTTACTTCAAGACACGTAAGTTTCGTAATAAGAGTTTAAAACTGAAGTCCTCATATTTAGTTATCTTGTTAGGGTTTTTAAGACTAAAATTTACGTATCTAGTTATTTTAATGTTCATAAAACTTTCTAAAAAAAGTTTATGAATCTGTGAAGAAACGAGTTAATATTGTTTGCCATAGAATGAAAAGCAGTCGTAAGTGTTAACACATTTAAGAATTGAATAGTTCTATCATTCCACGAAAGTGTAAAGCACTTTAATTTTTTTCTGTTTCCAAATTTATAAAATTGTTTCTTGGTACCGTTCCTTACAGAAATAACTTTTGTGTATTTTGAGCCAATATGTTTTATGTTCTACATATTTAGCTGTTTAAAAAAAGTATGTACACATTTGCTACTCTTTTTTTAGTTTCTTGTTTTTATCATTCTGCTCCCCAGTGATAAGTCTGAAGGCTTATAACCCTAAAAAGATGATTTCTATATCTGTGGTGGGGCACGGATAGCATAGTCCATTGTGTAGCTTTGGGTTTAACTACAAATAAAATTATCATTATAGATTTATAGAATCAAAATTTTAATGTACGTTTTCTGATATTTGTTTCGGTAAGGTATTGTGCTCATATACTCATATATTCATTTGTTTAAAAGATGAGAATTTAAAAATGTTCCTTGCAGTTCGTTAACGTTTAACGTATCATTGTTATCAGTAATTTCGTACACGTATTTTCCTCCCTTTTTTACAGTTTATTGTAATAATTTGTTACTCAAGATAATTTAACAGGAATAAAAATATATTGGTTTACCAAAATACAAAATATACAATAAAAGTTTAAGTTAGTTTATTTTTCAGTAAATTGAAAAAAATATTCTAATTTTGTTTCCAAAAATAGTATGAAATATGTAATTACAGACTTGTATCATATAACACACACACAAACATATGTATACGTATATATATGTAGTCTGACTTTATAATTGAATAGACTTGAATTTGTTCTCAACTAATTTTCAAGATTACATTAGCAAATTACTTTAGAGTTTGCAATAATGTGTTGGAAAGTGAGAGGCACTTCCAATAAACAATTGAATTCATTCCTATCTAGTTGTATTATGCGGAAGTTCGATGTCGCCAAAGATAAGAGTATGTTTAATTAAGTAAGGCGCCAAATTTAACCCCTAATGCGATGTACAATTAAAATCGGGTAGTATGACAAACGAAAATATAGCTGACTTTAATTTGTTTAGACTTAGATAAAGTTTATTGATTCGGGCCTAAGGAGCTGAATAGTTTCAGGCTAGTTTCTGAATTAAAAACTAACATCATAAAAGAGTTTAAGAGCATTTCTGTGTATCCAGTTTTATTTCCGTATTCAGGGTAGCCTTCCATTCGATGTTGGAGTAAATAAGCTCAACATATTTTAATAGAAGTCTTTACTAATGTTTTAGCTAATTTCTCTCGGGTATAATTTACAGAGACATCATTTCCGTAAAAGGTTGCTACTGAACACACAATAGAGTATTCAAGGCAAATATTTCTATGGTGAAATTGCATTTAATTCCGGGTTTGTGGTATAACCCGCCATTTTCGATTTACTTTACCCTTAGGAAGTTTCAGTAAAGTTTGCATTAAAAGAATGTCTCAAATGTAGTATTTTACACCTTCATGTGAAATGAAAACGTATACATTGCAAAACGGTGTAGCAGATACTCTTGGTGTGCTGTTCATCACGATGTAGGTGACAGTGATTGCTGGAAACTCACTTTAATGGTCTTCCCAGGAGATATGTATTTCGGGATTATATGCTCAATTTCTTGCTTCTGTAAAATAATAGTTGACAGAAATTCAACACTGAGATAAAACAAATCACTTAAGTATTTAATAAGTGTCGAAAACACCGAGGATAAATTAGTATCGTATTAAAGATAAAACTGCTAGAATATTTCGACATAATTAAAACAAAAATAAACTGTTAAAATGATTTTATACTAAAGTATGAAGTCATAACTGTCCTCAATACCAATGTAGTTAATAACATTTGTTTTCCTTCTTTATACTTGTCTCAGAATCAGAAAATGATGTAACAGAGAGAAAAAATGTTCGTCAAGGGGTTAGTTTCAAAGTTGCATCAGTTTGTCGTTTCGTTTGCCTTAGAATACTTATGCGTGAGTTTTAACTTGAATGGGCTTGTTTAGCTTTGAGGGCCCGGCATGGTCAGGTGGATAGGGCGCGGATTCGAATCCCCGTCACACCAAACATGCTCGCCCTTTTAGCCGTGGGGGCGTTATATTGTGACGGTCAATCCCACTATTCGCGGTAGAGCAGCCCAAAAGTTGACGGTGGGTGGTGAATTAGGGACGGCTAGTGCAAATAGCCCTCGTGTAGCTTTGCGCGAAATCCAAAACAAACCAAACCGTTTAGCTTTGACGATATAAATACAAAATATTTAAAAAACCCATCAGTAAAGTTATGTTTCTTTTGAAGCTGTTAACGCAGAAAGCAGTCGATGAACAATGCGACTGTTTGATATTGTCATCCATCTGTTAGTTAAAATATAGACTGAATGTAAAAGATCCTCTTGAGTTCGTTCGATAAAAGTGACTGTTAAAACGAGCTCTGATAATTGTAAATTTTGAGTAGGTGCCTTTTGTTATATGACTTCTATAACATTGTTTATTTGTTGCTGTTTTTTGTTTTGGTTTTGCGAAGGGTGAAATGATTAAATCTACTTAGGTAGTGGAAGTCTCATTTTCCTAAAATATAACGCTAGATCTAGCTGATTGAACTTTGCTGTTGTTGAACCGAAATTACTTCAAAACTCTTTTGCTTGTTGTACAACTTGTAGTTTGGTTTTACACGTGAGACTTTCGATTAGAAGTTAAACCCGATCCACAAAGCTTTCTCTGTTTGAGTTTGAATACACTGATATTTTATGTGCGTAGAACGTTTGAATTACAGCCTAAATATGTGTAGCTTTAGTCGGACCGTATTGTTTACTGCAGATTCTAAAAACTACAATTAAAAGTATAAAAATAAAAAATAAATTAAAATCTCGTTGAAAACTACTAGCTTGACAATTTTTAGTGTAATGGATAGAGAATACTAATGAAAGAAGTTTAAAAATACAATAGATATATATAGATCACATTTTTCTCAACACACGAATGACGAAAACTTCGGATGCAGCATCTTTTGGTCGAAACTTGCTTGTTTAATTACTTATTGAAATTCGCGCAAAGCTGCTCGAGGGATAGCTATGTCAGCTGTTTCTAATTTAGAAGTGATAGAACTAAAAAGACGGCAGCTAGTTAACAGTATACACCCCTAACTCTGGGACAACTCTAATCGAATAGTGATCGACATTGATCGTCTCAAAATAACGCCTTCACAGCTGAAAGTGTGAGTATGTTCGGTGATGGGATTCGAACCCGCGACCCACATATTGTGTGTCGAGCCCCTAACCATCAGGCCATGGCAGGCCTTCCAAATATTGCAATATTTTGTACATGGATTGCTTTCATGAATGATCTTTAAGAACAGCATTAATAAATGCTTTAAGATTCGTATCAGAAAACATTTAAGATAATCATTGCAAATATTGAACCATTATTTTTCTTTATTAGTTTATGGATTATTTTTTCACATGGAAAAACTCTTGTAAGTTTCGATAGCGCAAGTGCCTCAAGTACGTTTTTATGGACAGGAACTACCTGTGGACAGTTCTGGATAACGTTACGGCTTCCTGTTGAAGTCTTCTTACGTATATTAAGAAAATCCGGACTTATTTCACTAGAAATCGGGTTTCGATACCCGTGATGAGCAGAGCACATATAGCCCATTGTGTAGCCTTGTGCTTAACTACCGCCCCCCAGTGGTACGGCGGTATGTCTGCGGACTTACAACGTTAAAAACCGGGTTTCGATATCCATGGTGGGTATAGCATAGATAACCCATTGTATAGCTTTGTGCATAACTACAAACAAACAAACAAAGCTTAACTACAAATAAACAAGCAAATACACGTAAATATTTAGCTTCGATAGAACCATGAAATCCAAACATTTGAGTACTTTTCTACCTCATGATTGGTTGGTTCAAACACTCTAAATGCTTGCCTAAAAATATAATATTATTTGTCGATATAAAAGTAATGCCCTCAACCTTCCATCATTTTCAGTTTTTGTCTACTTGGAAAACGACGTGTCCTTGACGTGATTTAATAAAATTCCTCAAATTTATAGAGGCAAATTACTATTTTTCATTAAGTGTATAAATGAATCATCAAGAAGTAGAATGTTAAATTAGTTGTATACTTATGGTGTTCAGGCATACTACGTGTTTTGTACACCTTTATTTAACATTCAACATTCTAATACATGCAGGTGTATATAGTTGTAACTATACAACGTTGACCAAGATAGAAACTAAATTCATTTTGCCTTAGTTACCTATTGTTCTGGTTCATCCACCAGTGATATAACGTACACTTTTTGTGTCAAATATTTCTGTAAGTTTAAAGTAATTTCTTCTACTGGTAGGTCAATTGATACCTTGAGGACACAACTTTCCTTATTTTTCGATTGGAATAACTAACGGTCATGTGGGTAGCACATGTGTCCTGAGAAAAATGGGATTCTATGATAGATTATTTAGACAGATTATTTATGATGAAATTTAGCTGAATGGACGACAATTGCCTGTTGTAAAGTGTAGAGGACGACGTTTCGAAAGCCTTCCACCTTTTGCCTTCAGTTATGTTTTCTCAGTGTGGAATGCTGCTACTATTACTACTTCTACTATTTCTTACTACTATTACTATTTTTACCATTTCTTATTACTATTACTTACTTCTACCATTTTTTATATACTACTGTTACTACTTCTATCATTTCTCCACTGAGAGCTGGCAAACCTCTTGTAAAGGCACCATCTTAAGTGAATAATTTCATTTTAATAGTTTGTGTAAATAAATAAAGATTGACTAGTCTCTTTCTTTCACAACTCAGTCAAAAGTCAAGATATCGAAACGCAAGAATAGTAGGGGAGTACAAAGGCGGAAAATACAAAATTTACAAACATTGGAAACTATATTTTGACAATAATTAAAAACAACAATAATATGTAAGTTTATGGTGATCCGATAACCTCATGAATCTTAATATTCCATTACCCGAGTTTCGATTTTGCAAGACCAATCGTATGTTTAAACTCTCTAAACAGTAACAGTTAAACAGAAGCGTCGATAAAGTTACATATGTTGTTGTCTCTGAACTAACTACTTTAATACTCTAATCCCACAGGGACGAACATTTCTATTACAGGTACTGTACCCACTGTTAGCAGCAATGTTAACGAATTAGAGTTTTATTTAACTGATACCTGATATTATGTAATTAAAAGTCCGAAAATTCAGGTAGAGAAGAAGAGCTTATATAAACGAATGTTGCGTGTTTCCAATATCACTACTCCCCAGGTGGGGCAGTGATAAATATACGGATTTACAACGCTAAAATCCAGGGTTCGATTTCCCGCGGTGGATGGACAGAGCGCAGATTGCTCATTGGGTAGCTTTGAGCTAAAACAACAACAACAATCTTTGTCATTAACTAATTAAATAGTTTGCATAATTATTTAGACCGTTGTTGAAAGGCGTCTAGAACTCCCGACGTGTATAAAATACAGGATTTATCATAATGTCTGTTGCACATTAAATATCAGACTACAAATTGCTAAGAACATCTTAAATAATTTCTTATTTGGAAGAGAAGAATAATTGGTTCGCTTGATTGCCGGTTTCTCGAAGCATGGTGAATAAAGATCTCCCGGAAGGATTACCAGATACAAACGACTTTGTTTTATGTTTGAAATCAGACTTCTGCTGAGCTGGTTATAGTAATTACGGAAACTTTAGAAACAGAAAAGATGTTATTTCACCACAGGAAGACGTTCCAAACAACGTATCTAAGCTTATTAGCGCCATCTTCGGTGCCATCGCTAAAAACATTTAAGCTTATTCTGTTTTGTGAATACAAGTGGAAAAATATATTTAAAAAAAAATTGAAAGTGTAGGAATGGGTGCATCAAAAAAAGTGAGGAAACAAGGTAGGAATGGGCATGGTATAATAAAACATCATTTGTACAACTTCACAAGGGGGGGTGTGTGTCCAGCATCCGGTCCATGCCTAACTCATTTATTCTTTCTATCCTGTATACAATAAGCCAGCTGGACTAAACTTATCAAACGTAGTTATGCTTATCATACAACGACTAAAAATTTCTGTGAATTGAATTATTGAAAGCAATACATATACTGTAAAGTCTGTTTATACGACACCACAAGAATCAGATATTCGTGTGGACTCATAACTTGTATGTGTTTTTTCTTTGCAATTTGCCTCTCTTACAATTGCATGAGAAGGCAACAAGGTTTTCGTACATTAGCTATATAGGTAGATTAAAATACAAAGATAAAAAATCCTAAGAGGATTTTGTGTATCGGCGTCGTGGATTCGTTACTGTCTATACAAAAGCAGAAGAATTATAGAGTAACTTTTGTATGTACCCATAAGCTGTATAATATCATAAACACAGAAAAACGAAGTAGGCATGGACGAGATGTTGAACACACCCACTTGTGAGGTTGCACAGGGAAAGTTCTGTTACATCATGTTCATTCCTAATTTGTTTCGACACGTTTTGGTGCACCCATTCCTACACTTTCAGTTGTTTTTTTAAATATTTTTTCCACTTGTTCATGCACTTTTTTTCATACAAGGTGATATGATCTTATGCACCATTCATTAATTTTTGTTGATATCCT